TTAACCTGATTCAAGACCTATCACTTATAATTGGCTCATGTTGATCTTTATGTGTAGATTTTTCTGCAGCAGGAGCCTTAATGATGCAATTAGACAGCTCTGAGAGCATCTTGTTTCCCTCATTTGTACTCTTCACAGATTTGAGCTTGGAATAAATTTTTCCATCTATTATTTTTCAATTCTGCCTTCGATTAGTCATGATTTGATATGGGTTTTTTGTTTCGACGGTGATATTTGTGCTTTATTTTTTTTTTCTTTGTATGATGTAATTTCTTATTGTATAAAAATGATTTTGTGATTTAGGTTCTCGCAACTGTGCAAGAATGCTGGCGGGATCCAGAGTTGGGGCTTTCTCCGTGGAATGTGCACTCTCACACGGGCTTTCTGAAGCATCTAATGCTTAGATCAGGCAGGTATTTGATCTTATTTCTGCCCTTTGTGAATAAAGCATTGAAGTCATCATCCGTTTCTTCCTCTCTTTTTTTGGGTGGGGCCGTGGGGATAGGGCATTGGGGTGGCTGGCAAGATCCTTGAGTAGCCATGTATATAGTTTTACTATTAGGTGTTTCAGATTATGTTTTGGGGCTGAATTCTTAGGTTCTTGAGCAAGTCTCAAGCCTTTCATTTTTCAGATTCTTCCCCAGGAAGCTTTAGTCTGTGTCATGCTGTATATAAAGTTCATATCTTTTGTATGATGTACGTTGCACCTAACGATAATTTTTCTTACTGCCTTTCCTTTCAGGAATATTGAAACTGGTCTTCCTGAACTTATGGTTAACTTTGTAACTTCTTCTGACAATCCTGAATGCTTGAGGCCCCTTGTTGAGAAAATCGCAACTATTCCTGAAGTGGTAGGTTTAACATATTGCAGATAACTTCATTCTTTTGTCTCTTTAGGTGAAGAACTTTCTATATTGATTGCTTACTCTGGGAATCATATTACTTCGACCACTAAAGTACTTCCATCGTGAGCCAAGTTCTGGTTTCATGAGTCAATTTCTTAATTAGCTCTTCTCTCCTATAGGTGGACCCATTGGCCATTGCGTTCTTTTGAGATGCCACCGAACCTTCTATTTTCCACAAAGTTACTTTTTTATTGGTCAGTCTGCATCTGCTATAGAAAAATAATCTATGGTATCATCGCTACTAAATTTTGTCATTGATATTTAACAGGTAAGCATTGTTAACAATGTGAATACTTCTATTGGCAACACATCTGTTGGGGAGAAGGAATATACGTTGTATGGAAAATCTACCATCACAGAGATTTTGAGAGGGCTTACTTTCCAGATTTCAGCAAACTCTTTCTTTCAAACGAACACACGTCAGGTATTTGGTAAAGAAATGGCTAGGCCAGTACCTTGATCTCTTCCGTTTATACTTCCAAACCCTGTTTGGTTTTCCCTTTTTTTTAAAAAAATTTGGTGCTAAATACAAACTCTTGAACTTTGCAGGCTGATGTTCTCTATAAATTAATTGAGGATTGTGCATTTCTTAAAGGAGATGGGTCTGAAATTGTTCTTGATTTATTTTGTGGGACAGGAACCATTGGCCTTACACTGGCCAAAAGGTATATAGGTTTTCTTCTCTGAGCTGCAACGTTCTAGATTTTGCTGATCTGACATTTATTTCTATTTCAATTTGCAGGGTGAAGCATGTTTATGGTTTTGAAGTAGTAGCTCAAGCTGTATCAGATGCACGTCAAAATGCCACTCTAAATTTCATCAATAATGCAACCTTCATCGAAGGTGATTTGAATAAAATTGATTCGACCTTCGCCAGCAACTTGCCCAAGCCTGACATTGTTATCACAGGTTATTCTCTTCTTGTTTTCCTGATGGATGATATGTTTCATTTGAAGCTTTAACTTCCATTGCTTTAACAAAACCTTCGTTGTATGACGCTGGGGAATGTTTTATTGGTTAAGTCTCCCGGGACTAAATTGCTCTGTGAATGCCCTTTCAGTTTAAGTTCCCAATTCACTACCTGGCAGCAGGGTGATATCGTAAGATTAGTAGTCCTACACTCCTGCTGGTATAAGAATATTCAGAATGAAATAACTAACGTACATTGAAGTGTGAAAATTGTTTAGAAAGGAAGCATCGCCTCTGTCATGTTAAAACAGGATGTTTGATCTGCTTTTGGCCAGGTCTTTAGGTTTGATTTCTGTTCTTGTCCCCTTCAATGAAAAAAGATGGAGATCAACACAACAACTAGATGGCAAAGGCGAAGAACTTTGGTCACAGTTTGTGGTATGAGCCATAGTAAGAAGACAGCCTGAAGTAGCCACCTTGTACATATCCGTATAACTATAATGGAAATTTCGGAAGTTTCATAGAATCTTCTGTTTACAATGTGTTAAGGATTCTTAATATTGGCTTATCCTTCCGAATAAGAAAATTTCATGTTTACATAGAATGTTTATTCCAAAAAGCAATGAACGAGGAAGTTGTTTCCCTATAGTTAAACGTCTCAACATAAAGTTGCCTTCCTGTGGTAGATAATATTTTATGCAGGTCTCGAAATGAGGTCTCCGATGGCATTCTCAAGTATGTTATGTGAATGGCATGTGAGACCATGATTTAGTACTTAGTCTACTTGATACATTGCAATCTTTACCTTTTTCCTGGTGCACCTTTGGAGTTCCCATAAACTTGCTTACATTAATATTATGTTGCCGAACCTGCAGATCCTAATCGCCCTGGAATGCACATAAAATTGATCAAATTTTTGCTAAGATTGAGAGCATCACGCATCATTTATGTATCGTGTAATCCTGCCACCTGTGCTCGTGATCTTAATTATCTCTGCTATGGTGTGGTGAGTATTCGAATTTTCATATTAGTCCATAATTATTTATCATCCACTCTGCTAACGTCCATGACATATTTCAAATGCAGCCGGAGCAGAATATAGAGGGACGTTATAGACTGAGTAGCTTACAACCAGTCGACATGTTTCCACACACACCTCATATTGAATGTGTTTGCTCGCTTGAGCTTCGGTGATAAACCAGTTGTACATCTTAATTCCAACTAGTTGAATTTCTTGCGTCTGTAATTGTTATTGCTGCGTTCTGGTACTGCTGACATAGATTCCTATGGGATTTAGAAAGTGGAAGAATAGAAATGAAAGTCATGAAGCGATTGGTTGTTCAATTGATTGCTACGATTAAATTTAGGATTAACAAAGATCCATTTTAGCTGAATATTCTTGTAAAAGAAACTTATTTCTTGGAACACGGATGAGATTAAAAAGGCCATCAAGGCTGCCAATGCAATTAGGGCTCCCTAAGCACCTTAATTACTTAATTAGCTTTGAGACATTTGATTTTGACGTTTTTATATATGAGCATTAGTAGTATTATTTTAGAGAAATTTTCGGTCTTTTTCCGCATCTGAATTTTCTCCAGCCGTCTCTTTCGACATAATTGAATGTCTAGTTTTCACCATTAAAAAATCACATGTCCCACATTAAAAAATGAATGTCTAGTTTTCACCACCCACTATTGTCCTGTTTTGTTTCATTTCTCTGTTAGATAAACTGGAAGTGTACTTTATATTTTTTCATCTTCGCTAAAAAAAGAAATATAAGTTCCCTATGAATTCATATGGGAGGAATTAAGTTCTTTATGAATAGAGATAGAAATTTGATGTTTTACCTGAGCAGATATGCAGGTTCACAATATAATACTTTATAAACATCAAATGTTTAAAAGCTACTAAATGTTAAAGGTGTCATTTATTGTGAGTAATTTCTCTAGATAGTCATCCATGTTTGAGAAATTATTTAGTAATATTACTTATACCGCTAAGGACTGCAATATCACCCAACTTTATATATTTTTCTCAAAATATACTTGACACATAAAAAATATTATTCTCTCTCTTATTGAGATGTCATGTTATGTCATATTATTCATTTTTTATTAAAAAAATTAACTTTTTAAAACAATTAATTTTTTACTTTAGCATATTAAGAGATAGACATTTTTTATTCTATTATTACATTTAACATTAATTATTTTTCTAAAATCATTTCTATTAATTTCTTAAAGAATATGCAAAGTGCACACTTTTAATGGAATGTCATATAATATTATTCTTTTTTTAATACTATTTTTTTTTATTTTTTAAAATTGGGAAATTTAGTTTCTACGTCCATCTCTACATCTTTACTTGTGGCTAGACTAACTAACCAAGAAAGTTTGTGAGTCTCTGGTCTCTACTGTAGGAAAATAAATACTACATTTCAGTAGAATGGAGAAAAAGGAGTCTTTATTGGTGTTGAATCATGAGATGGGCCAATTATAAGTGATATACATCAAGAATCCAAACATATATGAAGTTTAGTGTATATAATGTGTATATAAAGCTAATGAAACCATAATATTAGTAGTTTGTATACTTTAGTAAAAGATTAAACATTGATGACCCAAAATATGTAGTGTATAGATTGTGGAGTCATTTTTCTTAAATTCGAGAGTCTATTAAAAAAGATAACTCTATCCTATTTCCCTCACCCTCTTATACATACAAAATAATTCAAGAACTAATTTTTTTTAGTAAAATGTATATAACCTAGCATGATCATGATTTAAGAGGTAAAAAGGTGTCTATGCAAGACCTCTCTTTTTCATTACTGGCATGACGTAAAAATCTACACACATATTGGAAATTGTTATTTGAAAAGTGGAAACTGTGTTATAGGACACGCATTTCAATTGAAATAAAGTTGAAGTTCTGTAAGGAAAAAAAAATCATTAATTGACATTGCATGACAATTGACACCTAATGGCTAATATATAACAAAATAATCTAATTTTCTCCCTCACCCTCCTCATGCATGCACTGCACAGACCACTTACTCCTATAAATAGTGTCACCTCTCCTAGATCTCATCACTACTTCAAATCCATTGTTCTCAATCTATTAACAAAAAATTAACCCAACATGAAGTATCTTCTTAAGATTAAAGCAGACATGTCTCATGTTAAAAAAATGACTCCAAATGGAGGGGTTGATAGTGGAAATATGCCTTATTTCTTTAAGGTAATTAAATTAAGTATATATAAACTTTGTACTTACATTCATCATTCTTACTTTTTTTTTTTTTTTTTTGTAATAATTAGTTGTTATAATGAAAGCATATTGACCATCTTCTACTCTCGTGTTTTTCTTTTGTTCTAGCTTCGTTGTGAACACTGTGACGAGCTGTCGAAAAGACAATGTGTCTACATGTCTGGGGCGGTAAACTACGGACGTGACGTTGTTAACCACGTCCTAAAAGTAAAACAAACTTGTGATTATATTTTTTTTTTATTGTATAGATCCGGTTTAGTTTTTTATATTTCTGATAAATTTGTTTTTAATCACATTCAGTGCAAAGGATGCAAAGAAACTGGGGCTGTAACACTAATTTCCGGTTATGGAAGGGATTTGACGGTGAGTGGAGCTTATGCTCCGCTTATGCTCTTTAAATGTACTAACGGGCTAGTCCCGGAAGGATATGAATTCAACGGCGGCTGGACCCTTACTACTGTAAATGTCTCCTTCAACTTCATTATAACCAAATACTTCATTTTTTACTATATTATTTTTAACAGTGATATTGTTATGTAGGATTCGAATAAGGTTATCATGGACGTGAACTTGGTTAGCAATTCCTTCTACGGCAACTTTGATGAATACGGAAATCAGCCTACAATTAAAAACACTAGAGGAAAGTTTACTCTTTACCAAGAATATTGATCCTACGGGATATATGTTTTAGGGTCTAGGCCAAAAATAAAGTGTACTGTGCCAAGATGTTGGATGGTACTTAATAATAATGTATGCCTAGATTCGTTTTATTTTGGTGTTGAATAGTAGAACTCTTTTCTTGTATTAATGGGTTGATCATCAATATATTATTATTATTATTATTACGTACTTGTTCATAATATCTTACATAGAACTCGTTAGTACAAGCTAAAAAAAAAGCACAAACTAGCGTTCTATCTAAGACATGAAACTAAATTTAAAAACGGCGACCTAATTAACGTAACCATTCATCCTAAAGGACCTAAACTACACCACAGATGTACTACTTATGAAAGATGAAAAATTTTATGATGTTGAGCCATACCAACTCATACTCGTGTGAGGGTATCTTTTATACGTTTAAGTTTTGTGCACCGTCGGTGTATGAAATTTCTACACCATCAGGTACTTTTAATGAAATTTAACCATAGTAATTTATTTAATAAAATAACAATAATTATAAAAAGGAAAAAAAAAAGAATATCAACAGTTGAGTCCTACTTGGATTCTAATCATATTTATTTCTATAACTAAATTATTTTCTTTCCATACTTAAATACAATATTGAGTTTTACCGTATGTTTTCCCAGAATCATGCTTATGTAGTTCTTCAAAGCTTCAAAACTTGTGAATTTGCTAAGTAATAATTTTTAAAGGCATCAGGCGATTTTGAAACTTGACAAGCTTCTTCTACCTAGTGGTATGTCGCTATACAATTAGAACAAATTTCACATTTTAAAGTATATAGTGGTATCTTGGATCTTCCATTAAATAATGTCATTCTGCTAGTTTTTTCAAAACTTGTGCACACCAATTTGGCAACCTATCTAGTGCTTCCGTGCTAGCCTCATAAGAGATGCTTGCTTTTGAACTTCTTCAGTTATATTCAACGAACTACTTTTGTCTTGTCCATAAAACTAGATACTAGTAGTACTAATAATGTTCTGTTCCACAGTCAATCGGAGCTCTCTTGAACCATACTCATCAGCCAAACGAGCTAGGTCATCAATGTTGTTTGCTTGGACACGACCCATTGGAATGTGAAGGACGATAAAGTTGTAGCCATCTTGTTTCTCTGGAAAAAATTTCTAGACTACCTTATGATTTATGTCATATTTCTATCTTCACAATAGTCAACAACAATGCATATAAAGCTCCTCTTATCCATTCAAACAACATGTATATTACATGGTGTAAAAGAAATGGAAGATGATTTGAAGAGCAAAAAAGAGACGTTTTATGATTTCAAATATAAATGTATTCAGAATTTGTACAATTGTATGAAATGAAATGAAATTTTATACAAAATATGAAAGACTGAAATTAAAATTTATGTAATGTATTACGTCCAGATCTTTGTACTTGTTCTGGTGCCATTTTGGAAATGAAGAGAAAATTCATAGACTGATGATACTATTAGCAGCTGGTGAGAGAGGAGGAAGAGAGAAAAAGCTCAACAACATCTGGTGTATCACAGGGGCCTGCACACCGAAGTAGTATCATTTTCTTGCGAGTATCCTACATTAACTATCATGTGTTTCCTAACTATTTATCAAAACACGCCTCGAAATTAATGAGTCTTATTTTAAGCAGCAAAAAATCTTCATATACCTCCCAAATACAAGTCTATCAATCTCTAAAGGGTAAAATGAACAGGAAAGCAAAAAATAAATTCAACTACTCTATTTTTTTATAAGAAAATCCAAGCAACTACAAGTCAGCAGCAATTAGAATTCAGTATGTACTTAATCTTCTTATTAGGCCTCAACTGGTTGTTGTGTCCACACTTCTTCTTGCGGCAGTTGATAGCACGAGGATGCAACCGAGCATAGCACTTGCGGCATATCAGTACCAGATGTAATCAGAAACCTAAAGTATGTAGTAAAAATATTTTTTGTTTGATGAGGATCAACCACACAGTAAAAATAAACAAAAGATAAGAGACGATCTCATATCCAAGAGAACCTGCTAGACAAGGAATCTATTTTGTCCAAACAAGAGATGATCCAGTAACTAGAAAAAAATCAACAATGTAATAAAATCATATACACTAGCAAACTCAGTTCATTGATCAACATGCTTACCTGTTGATTATGTCCAAATACTAATACTGTCTTTACACAATAAACACATCAAAATAAACTATGAAAGGACTATTTAGAATTAAAAAACAGAGAAAAACTAATAAATCTAAATCTAAAGAACTATTTCTTCCTCTTTCCTTCTTATTCTCAAAGCTCCAAATCTTCTATCTTTTTACTCACTAACTAGGACGATATTGTTGGAATGGAGTTGAAGCCGCTTTCATCAAATCCTGATAAGAGAATAATAATTCATCAACACGCATCTTATCATGTAAACAATATATACACGACATGATTAAAGAAAGAGCAATTCTTACTGTAAATGAGGTGGCATAAGCACAACCAGCGTTCTCAACATATTCTTGATAAAATTCTGAATAAGCATTAATGTTTGAACTACAAATGTAATTTTAGAAGTTATTACAAAAGTAATCCCAATAGAAATAATATGCATCATGCTAAGTGAAATTACCTTGTTTCCTTTCTCTTAAGTTTCACACTTTTCGTTTGCCTTTTTTGCTTTTGAGAAGATCTTCTTTTAATTTTTGGAGACGAAACTTTTTTGGTCTTCTGAGTAACTTCTAGAAAACCTCTCATCCTCAAAGATCTCGGGCGCCCTTTAGTTGTTGCTACCGGAGGGTCATGCAAAGTAACATCTTGACTTTGTTCACATGAGTTTATTTCCTGATCTTTCTCACTAACTTGACCACCTGATACACAATCTTCCTCAGATTCATAAGAAAGCTCATCAAGTTCTCCACACAATTGCAATAATCTTTGATGCGCAAATTGATAATGTTTTTCAGACTTTGTAGCTCGTTCAGATAACCCAATAGAATGCATCATAATGTTATTAAACCACAAAGTAGAAGGTTTCAAAGTTTGTGTTACGTTTGAGGGGTCATTAGCTTTTTCTTTGGTTGCGTTTCTTGTCCATCGATCTAATAAATAATACATTGGAAGTGAGTGAATCTGTTTTTTTATAAATACCATTAGTACATGTCTACATAGAATTCCCATGAACTCGAACTTGTGACATGAACAAACAGCTCTTTTCAATGCAAGATCTAGACTAACGATATATGCTGGCCTTTGTCTTTGAAACTGATGTACTTTATAGATGTTTGCTCCATCCTTGACCTCAATCTTTTCGGCGATAAATTTTTGAGACTGAATTAGTTCTTCTTGAAAAATCTGAAACATTTTTCTTGTATATTCCTTCGCTGCTTCATCTTCCATAGGATACAAAGTTTTCAAGATAGGTCTTGAATGTTTTGTCTTGTAATCCTTCTCCCTTACTTTATCATATCTAGCGTCAATAGCCTTATCATATTGCACCACAAATACACTCATTGGAGTACTAGAATTCAAATAATCTTTAAAAAATTTGTTCATACTCTCACTTCTTTGACTTGTCGACATGCCTGCACAAAAAGTGCTACGCACATATGCCGGTATCCATTTTTCCATTTTGACCGCAAAAACTTTTGACTATTTGGAGATGCAAGTTCATGATTGTGCTCAGCAACAACCCTACAAACAACCCATTTATCTTCTCCTTTCTTCGACATATATAACAACGCTTTGCATCCTTCTCTAGTTTCATCTTGTGGTTTATTGCTTTCTAAATTTTTCTTTGAACGAAATCCTTGCTTCGAACAAACAAATTCTTGACCAATTATTGATTTATCTTTCCTTGATTTAGTCATACGACCACGGCGCACACTAAAACCATTACGATGAGCATAATCAAGATAAAACTTAAATGAATCATCAAGAGATTGAAACTCCTTACTAATGTAGGGAGCTTTTGAATTTTCCACACCTATATCGGAAGCAGTTTGTCCAGTTCCCTCCATGTCACTTTCTTCTAATAGAACTTCAACTCCTATATTTTGCACATCTACATTTGATTTTTCCATTAATCCTGCAAAATACAATTAAGAAAGTTAGATAGCTTACAATAATGAATCTGCTCATATATTTTTCAACACTTCAATTATAAAACATATTCAATATTAATGAAAGTTCAATCAATAAACTCCTTCCCAACATTCTAAAGAGCAGAGCAAACGTATTGGGGACAATATAAAAACACTTTAAGATACAATATTCACCTCTCATGAGACTATATTCACTTATTTTTAGTACATTGAAATTCTTTTGCTCATGAAGATATTGTTCAAAAGAGGCTTTTTTATGCTGGCAAACGAGAAAAAAAATGTGAAATTTGTTCATATTGTATAAGAACGAATCACTAAGTAGAAGAAGCTTGTCAAGTTTCAAAATCGCCTGATGCTCTAAAAATTATTTCTTAGCAAATTCACAAATTTTGATGCTTTGAAGAACTACATAAGCATGATCCTGGGAAAACCTACGGTAAAACTCAATATTGTATTTAAGTTTGGAAAGAAAATAATTTAGTTATGGAAATAAATATGATTAGAATCCAAGTAGGACTCAACTGTTGATATTCTATTTTTTTTCTTTTTTATAATTATTGTTATTTTATTAAAATAAGTTACTATGGTTAAATTTCATTAAAAGTACCTGATGGTGTAGAAATTTCATACACCGACGGTGCACAAAACTTAAACTCATTTTAATATGATATATGGGATCTACAAAGTCAATTGACCTTTTTCTCAACCATTTTTTTTTCTCTTTCCTAGCTTTTCTCTTTCCTGGTTTGTTTCATTTTCAATCTTTTTAGTATCTATTTTGAAACCAATTGTATTACAATCTCATTTTTATTTTTGCTTACCATAAAAATAAAGTTTTTTTTGTCTAATATATATATTTTATCAAATAATAAAAAATATATATTGTTTTTTAATATTATTTTATCACTAAATAAATGCATAAGATATTAATAGTCAAACTTAATATTTTAAAACATAATTAATAAGACTAATTTAATAAAATAAACCTCTAATAAAATATAAGTGAATTTATATATAAAAAGAATAGTGGAACACATATTATTAAATTATATATTAAATATTTAAATATTATTGGCATAGAAAATATGAGTGTTACGATTATTATTATTATTATTATTATTATTATTAATATTAGGTATTTGGCATTAAATTCTAAATATATTTTTTCTAGTTGCAATTATGGAGTTGGCATTGAAGATAAAGTTGCGTTGGTTATATATTTGGTAAAGAATATTTAAAATGATGTTCTTTTTTAAATTTTCTTAGATACAATTTTAAAAGTAAAAAATGAGTTTAAAAATAGATTATAAGATGTTCAAGTTTTTTAATATAATTTCAAATTGAAAAAAAAAATTATATTTCAAATTTTGATGACCAAACATTGATTTTAAAATAAATTGAAATATTATTACGAAAAAAATAAATATTTTTATATATGAATGGATCCTAAAACTAGAGGTGGAAAAATATACGAGACAATAAAGATGATTCTTTTAAAAGTACGGTAACTGAAAAAATAAAAGAAAAAGAAACAAAAAGGATTTTAATAGACAATTTTCAAAATATAAATAACCATTCAAATAATTAATTTCGATTTTTTAGGCTCACAACCTCTAATTATCTACAACATGGGCTTGACACATTTTATATAAAATTATCCAGCTCGAAACTTATATATTAATCACAAAAAATCCATTGGAAATTCACTAATCGAAATGAACAGCGGATAAGCTAATTGGATCGTCTAATCAATTTCTTGAAAGATCTTTCATTAAAATTAAATTTTTTTAAACGGGAGAAGATTTTAAATAATGTCATACAAATATATATATTTTTAAAATAATTGAGATAGAGAAAATAGTGAAAAAGATTATGCAATATAAGTATATGAGAATTGAACTTTTAACAAAAGTACAATGAGTCTTTGATTACTTGTACAAAATTGTCCATTTATCCATTACACAAAGCCTCACACAAGTATGAATTGATATACCTCAATCATAGTAAAAATTTTCATGAAAGATCACATGTTCCACATTAAAAAATGAATGTCTAGTTTTCACCATCCACTATTGTCCTGTTTTGTCATTTCTTTGATAAACTGAAAGTGTACTTCATATTTTTTCCATCTTCGCTAAAAATAGAAATACAAGTTCCCTATGAATTCAGATGGGAGGAATATAAGTTCCTTATTAATAGAGATAGAAATTTGATGTTTTACTTGAGCAGATGTGTAGGTCCACAATATAACACTATATAAACATCAAATGTCTAAAAGTTAAAGGTGCCATTTATTATGAGTAAAATTTTTCTAGATAGGCACATATGTTTGAGAAATTACCTAGTAATATCATTTATTTTTGGTTTATAATTACAATATTATTCAACTTTACATATTTTCCTCAAAATATACTTGACACATAAAAAACATTATTCTCTCTTCTATTGCGATGTCATGTCATGTCTTATTATTCATTTTTTTATTAAAAAATTAAAATTTTAAAATAACTCATATGTTATATTCATTAATGTGTATATAAAGCTAATGAAACCATAATTTAAATAGTTTGTATACATTAATAAAAAATTAAACATTGATGACCCAAAATATGTAGTGTGTGGAGTCATTTTCTCTTATAGAGTGTTAAATACATATTTGATGTGATTTTCTCTCAAAAGAATACTTATAAAATAAAGAAAAAAAATATAAAAGATTTATTATATCTAAGAGACTTCAATCTTGAGTCACAACTTTTTTCTCCCATTTAAATGTAAAAGTGGTAATCCGCTCAATTAGACACGTGGATTTGAGCCAAGAGTACATATAAGACTTTCTCCCATTGTCTTCATGATTGTCAACTGCACCTTTATGAATACTGACTTCATTTAGTCTCTTGGATTGCTTGTATTGCTTCATTCTGGATTCTTTTGTTGTCTCACGAAATACCTGTCACACATATCAAAATGTAATGAGGGGGCTACGAATTAAGTACTTTCCATTGAAAAATTATTCCATGTAAACAAGATATATAATGTCATATATATGTTCAAATCCTCATAATTAGTATGAAACAATCGTACAATATATACTTAATGTTTTAGGTGTTACATGTTTGTATATGTATAGGCTGGGGACTACAGTATGAGTGACATGACATGTATATTGTCTTTGTTGTATGCAGGTCTTTACTTGATCTTGGAGGGCTAAGATAAGGCAATATAATATTAATTGGTTAATCTATTGATACAACATTCTATTTCCCCGCCATTGTTTGTATATGAATAATATGTTAATGTCTTTTCAAATTGAACATCAGGAGAGATATCCTATGAAAAATCACTTAACGTTGTCGTTTTTGGTACATAATTTATGTTTATACCTGGAGTATTTTACTTTCAGTGCAGGGAACAATCGATACTATCTTGGGGTGAAAGTTCCTGATCAGATTATATGCAAATGATTCAAGGCACATTGAAGGAATCTCAATGTGTAACTTTAACTCTCGAGTTGGTGGAACAAGAATTTCTCTTGGATCTTCATAGATAAGAATACTGTTATTCTGCACATTGTACAAAGGCACAAATTAACCAAGTGGATGATAAAATCAAGGCTTCAGAATGGAGCAAACAGAAGGGAAACCTACCTTTTCACAAATAATTACAAATATTAGACCCTTAGAATAGTTGAACTTTTGAACAAAGTCCTGAATATTATTGCACCATCTTGTTTCCACATTTCCAAAGATGTAAGAATTTCTAAACTCTGGCATCAGAAAAAATCGGAGGTTGGCTCGTTCCAATTTACAAGGATCCATAGTTGAGATTGAAAAGGGCATTTTGATACCTTCAAAATCGAACATTTTCAGATTTGGAGCCAACATCATGTTGACTTTCTCCACATTCCCCCAATCCCACAAAGAGAATCTCTTAAGCTTTTCACTCACAACATTAATATTTTTCATTACATAGCATCCTTTGAGTATTAAGACTTCAAGGGCTGTGAGCTTAGACAATTGATATTCAAATTCCTGGTCGGTCATGGTGGAATCTTCCAAGTGGAGGTATTTCAAACTGTTATAACCATCTAAAATATCAATTGTGCAAGGCAACGATTCTGGTTCATGTGTCTTGCGGTGTTTGTGCAAAGGTGAGCCAACATGTAAAAATTTACAAAGTTTTGGAGCCCGGATTTCGACCTTGTCAAGTTTTTCACATGCCCTTAGCTCCAAATTCTCTAGATTTACTAGACCCGATACATACAAATTATTCTGCAACCCCCTGCAACGACTTAACTTGAGATCCCTGATTAATGGACATGTTGCAATCAATTTTTGCAATTTGTTGGTGGTGCTATTATGATTGATTTCAAAGTTGCACCTATATAGAGATAACTTAGTCAACGTCTTAGCTGCTGAATATATAGAATCAGGTATGGTGTAGTACAATGAACCCGACCATGATATGCCAATTTCTAGAAATCTGACATTATGTTTAGTTGCCAATTCGATCCAGCGATCCATATGAGAAACCAATTCCGGAGAATAAAGATCCATAAGGCGGAGTGTCTCGATTCTTAAGTTTTGCTCGATATGAGGCTGCAAGGAATCGTCAACGAATTGAACAAAATTCTCCAGGGATTTGTTGTGAAAGTTGGATTGAAAGATTATCACATCAGGTCGGCCTCTCCAAATTGAATTCCATGTCTTAGACAACACGCAAATTTGAGCTTCTTCTTTGAGCCCGTACTTACAAGCCCTACCTAAAATATCATGAATTATGTGAACAGGTAACTTTGATATTCTGTCAATAATTTCCGCCATAATTATCAACCAAATTTTCTCAACTAACTTTATGCTATATATAAACTTAATTCCGATTCCTCTTTGGACTAATTGGTCACACTTTCCATAGAAGTTGATACGGAATTTTTAAGGTTTACCCTTAAAAGAATTTTTCACGCACAAAATTGTTGTTTAATTTTTCCTAATATTTAAGACCTTTTAAATCAACAAGTAAGATTTTGGTCAAATCTCTTTCCTAATTTAATATTTGTACTATATAGGTAATCATAATACATAGAACTTCAAATTAATTAAAATTTTGCCATCTATAAATTATCTCCTTAAGTTGAATTGTCAATTTAAATATCACCCTATATAAATTATTTACTTATTTGAACGATGCAACATAACTATATTGTTACTATTAATTTTGAATTTTTGGCTCTCTTTTTTTTTAGCATACTTAAATTATTTTTAGCATACTATACAATATTGCAAGAGAAAATTGTTTTGTTTTTAAAACGATATTAATAGAGGAAATAATAAGATAACTATTACTTTTTTTCTCACTATAACGCTATCAAATTTTGTTTTCTTGTTTCCTTTGAGTGATCGAATACAAGAAATGTACACTAAAGTATACAGTACTAGTATTTTTGCATCCATAGAATACTTAAATAGCTTGAGTTGATCGAATACAAGAAATGTACACTAAACTATACAGTACTAGTATTTTTGCATCCATAGAATACTTAAATAGCTTGAGTTGACTAAATTCACCATAAACTTTTAAAAGATATTTCTAAATTCCTTTGCATCCCCTCCCCTACCCCCACACATATTGGATGTATGGTTTAGTATATCAAGTTTTTCAATATTTTGGTAAGAAATATATGAAAATTTTATATATTGTTTTATACCTATTGTATATTGAATTACTATATTTTAGGTTAAACATTTGTAATTTAAATTTTATCGACTCCTATACAAGAGCGATAACAAGGCCAATCCAGCTAGACACATTATATGCTCCCGAACCCTCAATTTAATTGTTTTTCAAAAATGTTAGAGTCATATTCTCTCAACTTCCATAGAGAAGCAAAACTCAAGCGGATAGAATAGATGATCCAATTACAACATACCTTTTTATTTTTTCATTACATCCATGGTCTTGCCTCGTGGTATGACAACACCCTACTATTAAAAGGGACTATATTTTTTAAGGAAAAATTACTTAGCTACACACCATTTATTATCATATTTTCTTATTTTCCCTACCATTTCAAAAAATATCAAAAATATCTTCTTTTCCTCCCATCGTACCTTTTTTCGGATACATTAATTTGAAATCTCATACCCATGATTTTCCTTCCCTTTTTCACGCCAAATCTCTCCATAATTACATCAATTAATCTATTTTTGAATTTCAAATCTTTTCTATTTCCAATTAATGATTTCAAATTATTTATCCATCACTTCCATTTCTGATATCTTTTATTATTTTTTAATTTTTTCATCTTAAAAAATAAAAATAAAATTACCTCCACCCCTGCCCCCATTGAAATCTTATTGAACTTCTGCAATTTTAGTTAATCATATCGTCGTTGAAATTTTTTCTTGAAAAATATTTATTTTCTTTTAATGTATCTACTGTTGAAAAACGTCCAAAAAAAAGAAGAAAAAAATTGGATCTGTCATTGCACAGCCATCACTATCAAAGATATAAATTTTTAATGTCTCTTGTTTATTTTTAGTCTTAAATTAGTTTTTGTTAGTGTTATCATTGATCTGAAACATCACTGCTACAATAACCTTTGTTTTATGCAATGTATCATGTTCATATTTAAGGTACTGATACATAACTCTAACGTTGTTGAATCTTCGATTAATGTTTATCATGTTCAATATAAATGTACTTGATACATAAACTTTGTGTTATGTATCACACACAAAAAGAAGAAGCTAATTTAGAACAATTACATGTATAATGTATTTTTTTAATTTTAAATATAGTATTTTTCAAACAAAATAAGATACATAAATAATAATGTATCATGTACTAATTTTTTAGTTATGATACGTAAATTCGAATTTATACTAAATATATCTGATACATAACATTTACCAAACAATAATGTATCGATCCCAAACCTAAAGTCTTATGGGCAACACTTTCTTATTTAATGTATCCAGTAGAAATACAACACTTATTAATTTAAATTGAAAATAATCTTCATGATGTATCTTCTCAAAATTTTCGATAATTTTGAATCAAAATTGAAAGGATCTTCAATGAACTAGGAGAATAATTTTGAAACTCAAAATTTTCAACAATTTTGAATTAGAATTGAAAGGATCTTCAATGAACTGGGAGTAGAATTTTAAATCTCAAAATTTTCGACAATCTTGAATCAAAATCGAAAGGATATTCGATGAACTTGAAGATTCATAAAAGAAATCGTTCATAACTCACCTCACTTGTCCAAAATTTCGATTTTTTTTTTATGAAATAGGGAGAACGATGAACAAGAAAAAGAAATTTAATTTTTGAATTTTTTGATTAGTTACACTATATGATTGAATTCTTGACAATAATTTGGAATGGAATAGTGTAATTTATGGGATCTTAATTTGATTTTCAGTTTTTTTTTTTCCCCTTAATTAGTGCAACAATTGGATACTATGAGATCTTAATTTGATTTTTTAGTTTTTTTTTTTCTTAATAAGTGCAATAGATTGATACATAATGTATCAACAATAATGTATCCGGATTCTTAATTTATGTATCCGAAATGTCTAAAAAACATGGAATTTGTGTAATTAGAAAAATAATAGGAATAGAAGGTAATTTAGATTTTACAATATGGGATTTAGGTAAATTATAAGTTAGATAATTATATTTTTATAAAATGCCCCCATAAAATTGGGAAGTCCGTGCAAAAACTTGTCATGAGGCCGAGGAGTGATGGGTCACTCTAGACTCCAAACTTTTTTTAATACTACACTTCACAATTATAACAAGACAAATTAAATTTTATATTTGCATGCATAAGCAGAAAATCAGGAATTAGAGTAGTAGACCAAATAGAGGCTCAAAAACCACTGCCAGTGATTCTTTATATTTTTTAAATGACAAACAATTTGACAAATTTTGAAATGGATAATAGTACATGAATGAAATGATATATATAAGACATAAATTGAATCAAGGAGAATAGAGACTATTCATCACATTAAAACATAAAATTGGGAATCCGCTCAATTAGGGGCGTGGATTTCAGCCAAGAGTAAAAAGGGGTTGTTCCGTCATCCTCAACAGCGCCCTTGACTTCATTAAGTAATTCTCTATTTTGCTTCTTTCTATATCCTATATATCATCGTCTTGTGGAATACCTGTTATTTCAAATGCATGAAAAATCTTAGATATAATACTACATAAACTAGATATATATCCGAAGGAGGGGGGCTCAACTTATGTAATCTTACACACATTCAAACAATAGAATTGGAATTGTTAAAGTGAATCCCGTTTGATACAAGTCGATCGAACTCTTTACTTTAGTGGGAAAAGGTGGTTCGAAATTTGTTGTAGGTCATATTTATAGATTCAAAGTGTTATGATTAAGAGACAATCATGGAAATTGCACCATATGCTTGCCTCAGGAACTACGGTATGAGAATTTGTAGTCATATGTATAAAAAAAAAAGGTAGTGTGTATAATAATATAATGCAAGATTTATACCTGGACCATTTTGCTCTTAGTACAATATGACACTATTGATATTATCTTTGGGCCGGTCTCGATTAGATCATAGGCGAGTTTTTCAAGATCATGCATCAAAGGATTGGTAATGCGTACGTAGTTCTATTTCTCGAGTTGGTGGAACAATAATCTCGCTTGGGTCTTCATAAATAAGAATACTTTCATACTGCATATACATACATACACTCAAATTAATTAACTGAGTTCAATTAAACCAATTCAAAAATCAAGTAAAACAATAAAATTGAATTTATGAAAAACAATTTACATAGAGATATGAATCAGAAAAAGAAATACCTGTCTGCAAAGGATTACTAATACCAGGCCCATGGAATAGTTAAGCTTTTGAACAAAGTCTTGAAGATTGTTATACCAACTTGAGTCCACATTTCCATGTACAATATTTGGATCCACATTTATAAAAAAATATATTAGCTCGTTTCAAGTTAGAAAGATCCATAGTTGAGAAAGGCATACACATATATTGCCACTTTCAAAATCGAACTCCCTCCAATTTGGAGTCAACAAGTCGACTTGCTTCAGATTCTTCTGATGACACAAGGTGAATCTCTTAGTTTTGTGCCTCACAATTTTTATTTTCTTGATTTCATAGCATCTTGTTAGTTCTAATACTTCACTTGGATAATATATATTCAAACTTCTGATCGGTCATGGTGGCAGCTTCCAATTTGAGAATTTGTAGTGTCTTATAACCATCTAAAATATTAATCGTGCAAGGCAGGGGTTGTACTTCGAGTGTATTTTGGCGCTTGTATAGAGGCGCGCGCACCTTTAAATGCAAATACCCCAAGATTTGGAGCCTGAATTTCCACATTTTCGAGTCCTTCACAATCCAATAACTCTAATTTCTCCAGATTTACTAGGCCTGCAACACACAAGTTGTGGATTCCCTTGCAATTATCTATACTAAGATTCCTGATTAATCGACATGTACTAATTAATTGTTGCAATTTGTTGGTGCTATCGTCGTAGCGATAATTCAGTCAGCATCTTAGCTGCATAAAGAGCATCAGGTATGCTATAGTACTTCAAATTCTTCATTGAATTTGAATAAATTTTTAGAGATGTAACATTATGCTCAATTGCTAAGTTCAACCAACGATCAATATGAGAAGTTTATCCTGGATGAACAAGGCCATAGAGGCAGAGTGTTTCAATTCTCAAGTTGTGCTCGGCATAAGGGAGCAAAGAATCATCAACGGATTTAATAAAATTCTCCAAATTATTCTTCAAACCTTTGTGGCGTTGTATTTA